TTATTTGAGTTGGGTTGTATTCTTATTTATATATTAATAAAAATTTATTTTTTTTTCATTGTTTTTCCTACTAGTTTATGTATCATAAAATGAACCACAAATTGCAATACAACTTTTGAACAAAGCAGAATTCATAAACTTAACCCCATACAATTAGGGTAAGTCTAATGATGATTATGATTAATTCAAAAAAAAGTTTGTGTTGATCCTACTGCGCGTAGTTTGGTAATACTTCAATCGGTAATAAATAGCAAATAAACACAATATTTTAGAAAAAAAATCACAATATTTACCGTGTAAGAGTTTAGACAAAAAATAAAAAAAGAACTATCAATAAGACCAAAATTCACTAATGCTATAATCAATGGTCTTGAACATATTATATGAACTCCCACAACTGATTATGACATGTTTTTCTGTATAATCTAAAGCTATATGAAATAAGTGAAGAAAAAAAACATTACAAACACCACCAAAGTAGGAGAATATCCAGTCAACAAAAAGCTCACTCTCCACCCACAAACTTTTACTTTCAGGCACATGCATGCACTCGAACATTCTTGACCAATTTTAAATTTGCTCATATGGTAGTGAAAAACATTTTGTGATACTTTGAGATATGTAGTGCATCAACAGTGTAAACTAGTCCAACTTTTCTAGACTCACAGACTAACTGGCTATATAAAAATAAAGCCACAACAAAAATGTCATGTTTCTCTCAATCTTCCCTAAGCTTGATTTTGAACTTTTCTTGTTGCTCTAGTAAGGGAAATTGTCCTGATCATTGAAGGTATAGCTTAAGCATATTAACTAAACCATTCTTTTTTGTATATAAATATCACAACCCGAGTTCGAAATGCAGGCAACACAGGACCTGACAGAGTAGTATCAAAGTCGTGTTTTGTATTCAATATTCCTAATTCTCTTAGAAGTAGGTTGTGGGATATAATATCTTAGGTTACTTTCATAATGACTATCATTATATTTTATATTATTAATGTAATTATCTAGTTATTAGTATATTTCAATTTTGTGTAATTTTTAATTATATAGGATAGTTCCAAAGACAAGAAGTTTCATCGTCACGCACACAACTGAAGACCCAAGAGCCACTGTAGAGGCTATACCAATCCTTAGAAATTGTTGTCGTGTTCATCCCGCTTAATCTATCAAGATTACTGAAACACCCACCCTCAATATGAAACTCTAGTGAACATGGTGACACAGAATATCACCCAAGCATTACAGGCAAATATTGCAACACAAATTACGCAAACAGTGCAGACTATCTAACAACCATTGCAAATAACATCACAAATGACCCAGCATGTACAATTAGTTGCCAACATTGAAAATCAAGCAAATCAATCGGTTCAAAGTTCATTAACATTTCAAAAAATATATAAAATCATGGACGCATATATTAATGCTACAATTAAAATCTTGTAGGTGGTGATGGCTAATGTGGTTATGATGGATCAAATGATGGATTAATCCCTAAAAACACACGCTCCTATCTCCAAAGGCGTGATTAGCCCTATCAAGTTAGGCACTTGATTCCATGATTTCAAGAAAAGACTTCGAAGCATAAGGTGCCTCGAAGGACAAGGCTAAATTCTGGCTGCACCAAAGGGCCGACAGATGGTGGGAGAGTTACCGCCACAAGACTTGAGAATCGGGTGTGTTGATCCGTTAAGCAAACTTCAAGAGGCTAGAGTTAAAGTTGTGCTTCCCTATGGTGAACCGCACTGTGCTGATGAATGAATTCATATACTAGAGCAAAGGACAAAGATCATTTGGGAATACAAGAGCCAGTCTATCAAGATTGTTAGGTTTGTTCTTTCTACTGGCCAATGAGAGGATCAAAAGATTTATCATTTTATTTTCGTCCTACAAGAAGATAACTCAGATTTTTTCATCCCCTATCAAATGTACCACTTATAGGGAGCCAGTAGGCCAAGTTATTCATGAAATAGTGACCAAAGCCTATGAAAATAGCGGGTTGGAAAGTGGAAGAATACAAACACACAAATAAATGGGAATTTCTAGAAGAAGCAACATCAGATTCAGCATTTACAGAAATCAAAGAGCAAGTCTAGCTGTATTTATTGCAGAAAATGGCATTCAGTAACATGCAACCTGATTATTGACAAATACTTCAATTGCTATAGTGTTAATCATAAGATCGATGATTGCCCATTTAAGAATTAAGATCAACCGCATCTTATAGTTGACCAAGAGAATAATTTCAAGTATCAACACAAAAATAAGTGGCAGAAGCCTAATGAAGGCCCATAACAAAAGCATCACAAGAAAAGATAAATAAATAGAATTATTTTCTACCCCAACAACAGATGGCACAATTTCATACACATCAAAAACATTCTCATGCATTGCAATACTAGGTTTATATACCATTCAATTATTATAGTGTCGATCATATTATTTATATACAAACTCTCATTTTAAGAATAGAAGGAAATTTTATATACTTCTTCAACACATGTCATGTTGTCGGGGTTTACTGTCTTTCAAGCCTGATGTGACAATAAAAATGCTATAAAAACACCTCAAAGCAACTTAACACTTTCATCATAAAAAAAAAAAAAATCCTTCAAGTTATGGCTGACTGTTTCAGTTTTAAAATCAAACAAAAGTATTGTATCTAAATTTTCGTAATCAGCTTTCTTCATCGATATGCATTATGTTCAAGTTCAATAGGTTTGGCGACATCAAAATATGCAAACTAATATTAGGTAATAAAAGTGAAAAGCACCAAAGAACTTCTTTCAATATATATATATATATATATA